TGCTCCAGTTCTCTAGGCAGAATTTAAACATGTAATTAATTCCAAATTTAATACTTCTATAAACTTATAAAGTTTGTGCTGCATTCTAAAGTTGAAGTTTAATCTATTTAATAGTTTGGCATGTTATGCCTTTGCTCACTCTTACAATGAGGATGCTGTAAGGGTTGCATTTGTGTGAAGTCAGCACAGTGAACACCCCTAGATCTGGCTTCTGTTGAAATAATTATTTTATTTAATTATTAGTTGTTCAGACTCTGCTCTGATTCTGTCCTACAGTCTGAAGAATTAGATCATAGTGATTGAAATGAAAAAGACTTGAATTATTTTTCATATTAGTACAGTAATTCAGACTAATTTTATATCCTCAATTTAAAGATGTAACCCAGGGCATCGTCCCACCAATGCAGGACCTAAACACACAAGGCAGGAGATATTTCATGGTCAAGGGAAATTTAAATAGATTATTCCTTATTGTGTTTTACTCAATGCTAACTACTTTTCAGTTGCCTTGGGGGTGTTTTCTGTAAGGATAAGCATAAATAATTTTTATGAAATTATTTTTATATGACATGTAAAATAGGAAACAGAAAATTGCAAACTAATGTAACAGTAATAAATAACTATTATAAGTAGTGTTACAAATAAAAATAACGTACAAATAAGTTATAAAGTGTTATGTAACATACACTACTATATAACAAAATAGCAATATATGAACGAGAGGCCAAAGCGACTAGGTTTGCTCAGCCTGGAGAAGAGGCTGAGGGAAGATGTAGTGTTACCACCTAAAGAAAAGTTCTAGAGAAGACAAAACAACATTGTGTTTTTCAGGGGCGCATAGCAAAAGCACAAGAGACAACAGCTACAGCTTGCAGAAGGGAAGACTAGAGATACAGAAAATGCTTTGCACAGAGAAGATTTTGCAACACTGGACCAGAGAGATGGTATAATCTCCATCCTTGGAGATGTTCCAGACTCAGCTGGATACATCCCCAAGCATCCTGAACTAGCTTTGAAGTTGGCCCTGCTCTGAACAGGGGGTGGGAGTAGGTGACAGCCAGATGTCCTCTCCTACTAAGTTTGTGGGGCTCTTGCCTAAGCTCCCACCCCTTCTGAGAGATCTCAGAGTTATTTTTTGTCCCAACCAACTTTAGTTTGTGTGCCCCAAGTAAATGAACACAAGTATCTCCCTCCTTCTCTGTCCTAAGGAGCTGCTCTCCTGATGAGTGGATTTAGCATGGTCTCAGGTCACCCGAGGGGAGAGGAAGGGGGCTGGCACCAGGGCTTGAGAGGATCAAGGGAGTTGCTGACCCTGTGGTAGCCCTGAGATGTGGACTCCCTTAGGAGACACCTAAACCCTGCCTCCTCTACCTTTATAAAAGGAGAACTTCTGCATCTTTTAAGATAGCCATAAGCCAGTTTTAAAGGCCATGGTGACCTTTTCCACAGGGAAAACACTGATTATGTGTATTTTTAGTTGCATTAATAGAAACTCAAATCTTAGCTGCTTACAAAGGTCACAGTTGTTTCTTGATGAAGAAGATGTGGAAAATTACCCTCATCCACTCACAATCAGTAAAACTAACAAGCAGAATGATGCATTAACACAGACTTATTTCATCTGGACTGCCCAAACTGCTGTGCAGTATAATGTAGATGCTAATGAACAGCTAATGAAATTCAAGGAACAGGCCATTTTTCTAGTTCACATACAGACGGCATCAGTGAGTCCTGTTATTAACTGGTGGTGCAGTATGCTGACAATAGAAATGCTGGGCATGCCAGTTAAGCTGATTCTACCAAAATATGTACTTAATAAATTGATACAATTTTTTTTAAATTTAGAATTAACATTTTCTTTCCTCTAGTGAAATCTTGTACCAGTGTGCCTTTAGTAAAATGCAAATGAAGGCACTTTTCTGTAGGCTGTGGAGCAGTGAAACAATAACAAAGCAGGGCTGGTAATTCCTCATTGCCAAGAACCGGAGCTGAGTTTTATGTTGAATTGTAACAGACAATCTTCTTCCCCTCCATGTCTTAAGTTATAATGATGATGACAACTTATGCATGCGGAATACTTTCTTTCATAATCTTCAAAGAACTTTAGAAGGGCAGCTAGGAATAG